TGGCTTGATGAGGCAGTTGAAGTTAACTTTTTTGACAGAATTTGATGATTAACATCAGTTATTCGTTTTGCTGATGATTCACCAGCAACAAGATTGTTGAATTTTGTTTTTTTTGAACAATCATTGATTTCATAAACTTCATCCTCTAAAACTATAAATTAGGTAAAAGAAATGTGTACGAATCTGATATTAGGATATCGACTGAAGACGCTTATTAAAAACACCGGCTATTTATAGAAACTTTCTCTTAAAAAAAGAACTTTTCTAACCCCCAAAAATATTCTCATTAGTTGATAAGAATTCAGTGTTATCATTAAACAATTTTCGCTTAACTTGAGATGTTTTTTTTCCAAAACGTGTTGGTGATCCAACAGTAATACTACTAGCCAAATTTATTTTTTTTGAAGGTGATGCATCAAATTGATCATCAATTTCTAAATCAAAAAAGAAATTATGGTTATATATAAAATTCAAATAAGTCGATAAAAACCAATTTATTTTTCAAAAAGTGAAATAGTTTAAATCATAAATGATAGATATCTTTTCGATGATAATTACTTCAATACTTCGTGCTGGCGAAAGACTTTGTTAGAAAAATGCTTCCATGAAAATTATAGATAATAGCATATTAATTCGGTCATTTTTCTCATTCTTTTACTATATGAAGTTGATATTTAAGTTATAATATGACTGTCGAGAGAATTTAACAATGATCTTCTGTAAAAAATATTATAAGATGCAAATAACACCTGTTTATGTCTCGATGTGTAAACAGCTCCATATTTCTTTTTGAATGTAAGATCTTCGATCTTTCATTTCGATATTTATATTCAAAAATTCTCATCGATGATGGTTTAAAAGATGTTGTCTTTATTTGTTAATAGAATTATTTCTAAAAATCAATTAAAGTATTTTGGTTCTTCAAATTCATCACTGAAAATTGTATATCATTTGTAAAGTAGGTTTTTTAAGCACCTACTGTATTAACAGAACAGTGATGGTACAAACTAGACATTTTCATTGATATTCCTAATTTAATAGCTATGAAAAAGAAAAATTACCATTTATTTTTGATGATTCTATTTGTGTTGTTGCACCATCCATAACGTAATTTTCCATATTTATTTTTTTGAAGTTGAGTATCTAGAGAAAAAGCATCAATTAATTTCATATAGTATAGATGAATAAGCTCACTTGATTCTTTTTTATATCCATAAAACATTTTTCACGATTGATATTATTTGAAATTTTCGATGATGAATTTGTTTTGTCTATATGTTACAAACAAGTAAAGCATTTCAGTTATCAAGTAATAGACAAAAAAAGAGTTTGTATGTTTTTTTTTGTTATAAAAGATCGTGAACAAAAATAACTATTCATAACAAATCGTCACTCTCAACTAAAATTCTTATGTTTCTAATAGATTCAAACAGATCTCAGTGCAAATTATTGAGTTTCGTTGCTAGAAAACTACTAAATAGATTTTGCTAGATGAACATATTCCAAAAGGTATTTGATATGCCTTTTTATATCACAAGACAATCATCGTTTATATATGGCGATAATTATCTAATATGACTGTCAGACTCAAAAAATGAATCCTTCAATCATTTTCTAATCATAGAAACAGCATATATAATATATTCTAACACGATAATCCTGCCGAATACCTTTCGTAATTGAGCGAACGCTTTCTTTATTGCAGGACAACGTAACATATATTTACATTTTGTTTTTCCTGAAAGTTGATCTTCTTCAATATTCTCCTCTTGTATAACTTGAAGTTGTTCAACACATAAATCTTCACTACCTTTAAAAAAATAAGCAGAAAAAATTGTATAAACATTTTGAAGAATTACAAACTAACCGAAAAGCAATACTTTTCCACGTTCTGATTTTCTGGAATCCGTGGTTAACTTGTATGTAGCAGTTTCATTTGCTTTTACAATTTTACCAAAATTAATAAAACAATCCAAAGGTACAAGAATAACTTTATTAACTTTTTCTCTTTGGACTATAGCATGAGTATGGTCACCGGAACATTGAACATTTGCAATCGAATAATTCGACTGTGAATGAACACTTGAAACAGAGTTTCGTCGACAACGTTTTTCTTCCATCTGGAAATAAACAAAAGAGAAATACATAAAAATATTCTGAGTTTAAATCTAAAAAAGAGTTAAATTTAATTTTTTTTAGATATAGTTTTCGATTATGAACTATAAAAACAACTTGCACTAAATTGTTTTGCTATAAAACTGTTGAAACCCCGACCATGTTTTCTATAGAAAGATTAACAGTCTATGTAACGAACACATTTTAAAACTAAACACATAAGGAAACCAACAGTTTTATTGGAGGACTTTATATTAGAAAAAAACTTCATTTCCTATTTCATTTATGAACCACATCTAACAAGTTCTTCTCTTACTTATGATCATGATGTGTACTCAAAAAAATCCTAAAATTTTTTTATAGGTGGCGCTGTTATGGTTTGACTTCTGTGATACCAAATTCCATTACTTAATGAAAGTAATTACTTTTATAAGTACACAGAAGATTTCAAAGAAATTTATAAGAATTTTGTTCAATTTGAAAGCTGTTAAAATATATTTTGATCACGAAGATCATTCGATTATTAAAACTCTTGTTCACTTGAGAAAAAAAGCATACGATATCAAAGATAATATGTGCTGCTCATCATTCTAAAAGTCAACGAGTGATTGATGTTATAATTATATTGCTTTTAAATGTCTCTGTAGATTCATAAGTTTTGAAGATACACATTCTTCTATAAATGCAAAGACGTTTACCAAAATCTGTTTTTTTCGGTATCCTTAAAAAGAGAATTATGTGTTGAAAATTTTGAGTACTATATGTGTGTTTGTATTCGACTTAAAGTTTTAAATTAAACCATTTCTAGTATTTTATATATTCGATAGATAAACTTGGTTGTACCTTCTCGTCATCAATTGCTTACTAATTAAACAAATATCATTTTCATGTATCATCAGTGTTCATATTTAATGTTCGAATGTATATTCTAGATATATAAAATCAATTCTGCATCTCAATTTCCAACTATTTCGTTAATATATCATCATCTGAGTATCGTTTTATATAATGAAAGCTCATTGACAAAAAGAAAAATTATAACGCATCATATGAACTTGTATATTTTATTTATTCATATTTGAAAGCTACAATAAAAGACATGTATGAATATTATACCCACTAGAAAATTTTTGACCAACCAATACCTATAAGATAAATCTTATTTGAAAACTGTTAAGTGCTCAACAATATTCGATTTCTTTTTCATGACTTTTTTATTTGTCCTAATAATTAGTGCATCATATACATTAATGTATCTTTGCATGTGTTTGCTATATTTATTCTGCATAATATAAAAAAATAGTTATATCAGTGACAATCAGTGGCGTAGCCAGAAATTTCTTGAGAGAGGTGCCGATTCATTATGAGGATGCACGTCAGCAGCAAAATAAATTTCTATCTTTCAGAAGAATCTTTTATCCTTACTTCCCTCCAGACTTTTTTGGTCAATGGATGCTCTGGCACCCTGTTACCTCCTCCGCTGACTACACTCCTGATGCCAGTACCAGTGTATTGATAAAAAGTTAATCTCTTGATAACTTTTCATCAAAAAGAAGATTGGTTTTTTTTCGATGATAAGCAACTTCGGTTTAGATTTTTTGAAAAAACTAATTTAATTTATGTATTTTAGTTTGTGAAATCACCATTGAAAGTTCTTTTTAATGCTTTTATTACATAATTTTAAAAAAAGACGAAAAAAAGTACATGCTATTTGGTAAAATATAATAATAATATAATAAGTCCTAAAAAGTCGGCTGTATTTAATACTATAAATAATGATCTTATAGAAAAAATGCAAATGAAATTTATTTGAAAAAGAAAAAATTTCCAAAAATTGGAAAAATTTATATATATATATATATAGTCTATTTTATGCCAGTATATTTCTACACAAGAATATGAATATTAATTTTTAAAATATAATTTATACAGACCACGTTCTATTGATACAGGCATTTGTACATAAGATAGATATAGATTCACGATTAACATATACTTTTTGTGTCATTCAACAACGATTGTGGTCACATATGGCTTCACGGTACGTACACTTGCTTCTAAATCGCTAGTTCACTTGTTCTAATCTCATTTCTATCATTTCAGATACATCAACCTTTCAAAAGTCCGTTGGCCTATAGTGAGGTAAAGACCATCGTTAGAGGGTATCGATGGCGACTCAGATCAAACCTGAGACGGATTGTGATATTTTTTAACAATTTTTTGAATATCGAATTGCACGCGTCTAGACGCGATTTTGTCCAACCGCGTCTAGCCGCGATTTTCCTCAACCGCGTCTAGTCGCGACCTTCCCAACCTGCGTCTGGCCGCAATGTGATTTAGGACCGCGTCTCCCGTGAAACATTTCTTGCGTCTAGACGCGATTCATTTCAACTGCGTCTAGCCGCAATGTGGTTTAGAACCGCGTCTCCAGTGAAACATTTGTTGCGTCTAGACGCGGTTCAAGATTAAATCGCATCCAGATGCGACTGCTCATATACCGCGGTCAGACGCGATTCAAGATTAAATCGCATACAGATGCGACTGTTCACATACCGCGGTCAGGCGCGGTTCGAAATCAG